ACCCGTGTGATGTGGACCAACCCGTGGTCTGGACGCCGAGAGAGGGTGTCCGCAAGCACGTTGAGCTTACCCGGCTTGTACTCAACGTGGAAGTTGTCTTTCGCGAAGAAGCATAGCCACCTCGCCATCCGTTGGGAGAGCTGAGGCGAATTCGTCGCCGTCCTCATGGATGCGAGGTCTGTGTAGATCATAAAGGGCCGTGAGCCCAGAAGATGAACCCGAAACTTCACAAGGGGGTTCTTCATTGCCAGGAGCTACTTGTCGTGAACAGGGTAGTTCCCTTCGGCGACTTTGAGCTGCCTGGACTGGAACGAGATGACTCGTTCATGCGCTGTACTTGTGAAGGTAGTTGGCCAAGCCCAACCACTTTCGAAGATCCTTCTGGGATCGGGGCATCGGCCATGCTGCTATGGCCTTGACCTGGGTCAGCCCGAACGCCCACGCTGCTTACGAAGCAACCGAGAGCTTTAATCTCTGGTGACGCGAAAACGCACTTGTCGATGTTGACGTAGAGCTTGTTCGCTCGCATTACGTCCAACACTCGACGGAGGTGTCCTAGATGCACCTCCATGGCCGTCTTGCCTCCCTCGGCACGGCTATGGACGAAGATGCCGTCGAAGTACGTTTGTACGAAGGCGCGCAATGGCCTGAACAGCTGCGTCTCCAGGCGGTTGAACGCCGCCGGGGCATTAGACAAGCCCTGCGGCATGCTGAGCCACTCCCATGGCATACAGCTTGGCGTGCTCACCACGGTGAGCGGGATGTCGCTCAGGATCTGGTAGTATCCATCTATCAAATCCAGCGCACTGTACAGTACGCTTCCGGCCATGTTGTCCAACAATACATCCTTTCGTGGTGTTGGTGTCTGGGCCGGCACCGTCGCGTTATTCAGCTTGTTATGAGCGTGAACTAGACGCCACTTCCCGATCGGCTTCCGAGCGCAGAAAGTTGGCGTCGAGTGCGGGGATTTCGACTCCCGCATCAGGTCTGCCTTCGCTTTCGCAGCGAAGAAAACATCGATGACCTCGCACTGTTCGCGTGGAAGACGTCATTGTCTCGTGACACAGTACTTTGTGCCATGCTCGAGATCGGTCTCATGCCGTACGCCTCGACCGGTGGGAGTCGGGTCAATGGGTGTTTGTTCTCCACGTCCGCGTACTCCGTCACCAAAGGATACACAGGATCCTTGGGGTTCTAAAGGGTCTCAGAACCCAAGTACGTCTGACGCTGCTTGGTCAGCTCTTCGAGGACGTCCTCGTCCAAGCCAGAGGAGGAGTTCAACTCCTCCCGAGTGGTTTTAGGTCTTATGAGCACCGTCTCGGCGACCTCTCCAGCCTTGAGGTTGGCCAGGAAAGACTCGCCCGTCATTTACTCGAGGTTCAGTATCTCGCAACCTCTGGCAGCGGTTCAGAGTGGGCACCAGATGCCTTGACGGGTAAACCGGTCTTGGCATGAAGGATGTTATAGCACTCTTTCACCGGCCGTGTCGGAGGATCCCGTGCCCTGGATTCCGAGTCGTTTGAAGCGTCGTCGATCTGAACGAGGATCAGATCCGACTCTCGGCGGTGGCGGTGTCGTCGTCGACGGCGACCATGACGTGGAACTTTGTTACCCACGTCTGGGGATGTCGGAGCGCCGACATCCGAGGCACTCGAGGCCTCGTGAGGTACCGTGTTACCCACACAGGAAGCGTGTCCGCCGTCTTCCTCTTCAGTTTAGGTCTGGGCGACCGTGTGTGGAGCTCTGTTACCCACCTTGAGTACGCTATTACCAGCGTTCGTGACAGTTGCAGCTGTCTGCGGACTATGTCACCCGCTTGCGGACCTAAGTTACCCACTTGGCCAGCGCCCCCTTCTCCACCATCGAAGCGTCCTCGGAATCCTATACGTTGATGCCTCCCAAGCCTCTGCTGGATACTTCGGTACCCTGGCAGACCTTTCGGGCGCCCGGGTCCTGAAAGAGATGGGAACATGACTCACCAATGCTCTGTCGGAATTATCTGGGTGGCTGGCTCCGATTGCCTTGCCGCGATAGTCGATCCAGATCTCGTGCTTCACGAGCCAGGGCATGCCCAGGATCATATCGTAGGGATCCATGTCGAGAACAGTAAACTGTTCTGGGCTGTCAAAGTCTTCAAACTTGACGGCCAGATCCACTTGGGCGTTGGGGACAGTGACGACCTTCCCGTCAGCCAGTCGCACTGACACCGTCTCGCTGCCTTTGTTTTCTCTCAAAGCATCGGACAATTTGTTGCTATTACGAGCAACCGTCTGGCGGCGTGCAAAATGCTTCGACGCCCCAGAATCGATCAATGTTATAACGGGGTGATTGTATCCCCGTACACATCCGTGTACTACGAGCAGCCCGCCACTGTTCTTCGCCGATTCGAGAGTACGAAGGCTCTCAGGGGCTACGTCCCAGTGGTACGCGCCACCCGCGCACCCGTCACGAAGACTTAGCTCTTCCCCAGTAGGGTGCCCCGCCCCTACTGGTCTCCGGCGTTCCCCTGTCCCCGGGATCCTGGCTTCTGCCAGGACCCTTAAGGACGGGCTTGGGGAACGTCCGCCTGCGGTGCCTCTCCGCGGGACAGTCACGCATTAAGTGGCCAAGCTTCCCGCAGCCGAAACCGAATGCTGCCCTGCTCGGCGGACCCGAGTTCCATGGGAGCTGGTCCAGTGGGGTTTGCTAGACCGGGATTCGACACAGAATTCCCTGACCATGCTGAGGCCGGCGTGTACCCCTGGCGATGGCTGTATTCTTCCTGAAAAGCCACTTGAATCGCCTCTTCGATGGTGCTTGACGGCACCCGGAACAGCTGTGTTAGCACCGGGCCCACTCGAATTCCGTCCATGTACACAGTCACCTTGATGTGTTCGTTGGGTGGGCTACCCACTAGGGACGCCATGAGCTCTCGTATCTCTTGCACGTACTCGTGCGGTTCACGCCCTCCTTGCTTACACGAGAGGAGGCGCGAACGCTGGCGGTACTCGTAGCTCGCCGGGAGGAACGCGGCTCGGAGCTGTTCACACAGCTGAGTTCAGGATGTGAAACATCCAGGGGACGTTGCTTCCCGTGTGTACACCCGACGCTTAGCTCGACCGCTAAGGTTGGACAGTGCAAAAGCAACGCGGAGTCGCTCAGTCGAGATCTGTGCCGCGTCCATCGCGAGCTCTACTTCTCGAACCCAGATGTGAAGGTTCTCATCTTTCTTTCCTTCATACGGCTTTACCTTCAGCCGTATTGGCTTCGGGTGTGGCGGAGTTGTTTCCGCCGCCGGAGCCTGCAGGTTTCCCCGCACATGTGCGATGAGCCCTCGCTCGTAGACGTCCAACGCATTGACACGCTCGAGCTGCTCGGTCGGTGTTGACGCCACCAGGCTCTGCAGGGCCTCCATTCCGAAGATGCACCATCTCCCGAACTGACTCGAACTGTGAGTCGTTCAGATGGGAGAAGTCGTTCATATCCATGGCGACGAATTTCAGAAAGGTTCAATTAGTCTACCCGCGTTGGCGTGGACTGATTACAAGTGCTACCATGTGTGATATGTCACACAGCATCTTGTGCTAGAGTAAGTTGGCTTCCGAGAGTATACAAACTCTCAAATAACAAAAGTTCACAGGTCCCCTTTGGCCTCGGGGAGCGAAATGGCCAATTTAAGGTAAGCTGTGAACGGAATATATTTATGGGTAGGCTAAGCTTCAGTTAAATATACAAACTATAAGTCACCTATAGTCATCAGCCACTGGTTGGCCTCTGACGACCCTGGTGCCATCTATTAGCTTTTGGGCCGTTTGTAAATGGATGGATTGAACCGGCGCTAAATCCTCGGTCCGGAGCGACGACAGTATTTCCCAATACCGTTCATCAGTCACTCTCCGATGTGATGGGGACCGGGAACGGTCCAGGGTCGTCCATCAGGGCAACTCGAGTGTTGCTGTTTCTCCCACCGCGTACCCGTCGATCCCCAACGCGAGATAGGTGAGTTGCTCCTCTTGCCGCATGATGTCTTCCATGTCAGCTCCATCATAGTCCTACCGGCCAGCCTAGTCGCAGTTGGACCCCATCCAACCTCTGGCGTATGGTTAATCCAAAATGTAGTATTGAATTGATGTTCTCAGTGTCTTCCAGCAAAACTATCGGAGTCCCATTAAGGTGATCCACCAGCCCTACGTGCCGCTGTGCATCCCTGACGCGTGTGACCGTCCGTGAGCGCGGGAATCGAAGCATTCAGACAACCAGACGTATTGTGAAGAGATCGTGGCTGCAAAGGCTGGATCACCTTCGGCCTGCCAGCGGAGAAAGAGGTCCACATGCTGCACACCGTAGAAATGTCTATCCTCATGCTTGAGCAGCAGGAATTGCGACAGAACGTCGAGACGGCCACAAGCCTGCAAATACTTGGAAGCCTCCGCATACGGCAACATTGTACAAAAGCCTGACTCATGCGTTGCGGCCGGTGTTGCGCCGCCTGATGAGACGGTGAAGTCTTGGTACCTGTATATTTGCATGTGTGCATCGCCCCTGGCATCTACGTCGAGCACCAATATAGGTTTCCGTAGGTATTGCGCATACGTTCTCGAGGAAAGGGGCCCCGCCCAATATGTGCTGGCACAGAAGTAGCCACCGATCGGTGCCGGTTTAGCCAGAGATGCTGGAACAGCATGGTGATTGCATACTTCCGGGTTGGTGGGAGGATCACTTTCTGGGTAGAATCTACTGAATTCGACGATTGGATCGCGGAGGCCAAGCTGGCAGTCCGTTCGGAGGTTGGCTAGCATCAGTGCATAGATACCTTTCTTGTGCTGATTACCATCCCGAAGAAGCGCCGACGATAGCGTGAGATGTCCGGGGCCGTGGTTGGTGACAGTGGTATACAACGCGTGAATAGCACATTGGCCGTTGTCTGGGACAGACACTTCATGCCATCAAACCCCGAAAGCCAGTAGTCTGCTTGAATCGGGTTTTGCGTTGGTGCAATTGATTTCACATACTCAAAGCCCTCATCCGAAGAGTCCCCAGTCGCGGCTGCTGCGAGGCCGGAAGTCGAGGCTGGGGCCGTGGACTGAGCCAGTTCCCCGAGCGAAGGTGCGGTGAGTCCGACGCTAAAGAATAAGGGAACCCGGGGTTGGGGCGTTGGCCTGAGATCCTGATGACGCCGAAGATCACACGTAGCTTGAGGTGCATTGGGACTGGGCTTCGTGGGTCATCCCACTGGGATCCAACACTACTCCGTCGATGTTTGCTGTATCCCAGACCCCTGTGTACTCTTTAACACCTTAGGTGGCCTGCTTCGGGGCGAAGGCGGACACACTTCCGCCACGTCCGCCATGTCTACGTCCCGATCGCCCGGGTAACCCCCTTCCGGAAATACGTAGGCTGCGCCATCGCTATTGCACTCGCTGTCGTTATCATCGCCCTCGGCTCCTTAGTCGTCTGACTCCGACTGTATTGCCTCGTCCATGAGCGCCGCGAACCTACTAAAGAATCCCATTGGGGCAACAGCCGCTTCTACCGGTAGTCCATCCGACTGACGGCCCGCGTCATTGACCCCTCCGTTCCCTGGGCAAACCACCCCGGCCAATGTGTCACTGTGAGCAGATTGAGCGTCCTCGGACTGTTTGGTCTGTGGGTTAGCGGCCGTCGTTCCACGGTCTGTTGCCTGGTTCTATCCAGTCGCTTGATTGCGTACAATCGTATAGTCCTCGTCTGTAACCACAGTTCTTTCCCCATCCGGTGGTAGGGTCGTAGGTGGCGCACTGGACGGTGCATCCAACACGGCCATCGGGACGATTTCAGCTTGCGGGTGGTCCACGGACGCCGCAGTAGCTGAAAGCGCGGTAGCCATCGCCTTCCAGAATCGATCAAAGCTAGATGCGTCCGAGTGCCTGTATGTGGTGGCTTGGCCGACGTCAAACACTTAAGTAACCCCGTGAAGGCTCGTTGACCTCTGGATCGGGATTGCTCCAGATGCCCTGGTTGAACCTTACAAAACGCTGTCGTATGCTTAAGCGAGTAACAGCGTATACAAGGATGTCTCTGATAAAGGAGCTGGTGGTGGATCACCACCGTGGTTGCTCCGAGTTTCACCCTCGTTGTACCTTTCAGGGCCGGGGGACATTCCTCTTGCGCAAGCGGGCCAAACAATATCGGTTGTTCACCACTGCTGTGGGCTCCAGACGCGGGTGTTCTGCATCCAACACCGATACGCCAGCGAGCTGGGTGAGAGCTTGCACCACCGTTGCGATGCCGATTTGTCAGCACCAAAAATCCTTATCGAGTAAAGACGTCGGAGCTGAAGCCGCGTGTAGGTAGCCGACAGGAGGTCGCCAGATTCTTCTAGCTCCATGACCACACGCCGTAGACGTAAGTTGCAGCCGAGGTAAAAGACCGCAAGCCGCTTATTAAGAGAGTGAGATAAACTTGAGCGTGTGGTTACCGTCAAAGTAAGGCATTTTGAGATCCTGCTGGGGATAGGAGATGAGCGATTTTCCCGCGGAGGAATCTGTGTTGGTTCTCCCAGCAGCAATGCATGCGACAGGTTCTTGCATAAGTGTAACTGGGAGGAACGTCTGCTGTGACCACGCAGTAACTATCGTCGTGGAATTGCTCCACCATGGCTCTCTCCAGTACCGACATGATCTCCTTCAGGAAAGTAGGAGAATAGCGGAGTTCCAGCTCCCTGTGCAAGTACGCTTATAGGGTATCATTCTCGTCCGTGGTTGTTTCCCGAAGTCTGTTTACCTGGCAGACTTTGGATGGCGACTGGGAAAGCGTATGGTATCACTCGAGGCGCTAGAACTTTCACTCGGCTCGCTACTGTCGTCTCCGCTACTGCCGTCGCCATCTAGAATTCCCCCCCGCTGTAGTCGACTCCAACTATCGTTGTCATCAGGAGTGCTCCCGTCCGACGAACCGCTGTCTCCACTATCACCATTGTGACGTGCTTCACCAGCACGTGATCCACTGCGTCGCACTACCCGTCGACCAGCTCGGTAATTCTAGGTTCTCGAAGGAGCAGGCTGCAGCTTCGCGACCACGGTCGTCAACGTGTATATGGCGGACGCCATCGCTTTCGTGTTCACGTGGTTGTTTGGTGCACTGCCGCCACTCGCGGCTGTACTGGCCACCAATTCAGCACCATGTTGGTCCTCGTCATTGCTTTGTTCATCGGGTTCTCCCTCTTGGGCCTCCCCAACAGCTCCATCATCACTGGGCACACGGCGCACTCTCTGTACACGGCGTCGATACTTCCCACGTGCACACCCATGATGTCCTCCCTTGTCAGCTCCACGGACCTCCTTGGCTGACGCTTGTAGCTCGGCTATTGCCCTCGTCAATCGCTGCATTGTGGCTGTCATGCCCATCGTATCTTTACTTTGCGCTCCTGCAGCGTCTTCGCCAATCGCTTCCGCTTCGCGGCTCCGCGTGCAGTCCTTCTCATCAGTGGCTATAACCCGTCCGAGTTCCTTGGCATCCTTATTCTTCGAGGTCGATCGCTGCTGATTCGCCGACGCTCACCGTTTGATCTTCACCGGCTTCGCTTCCGCCAGTTCCACCGCTTGCTCGGCTGCTTGCCGCTTGTCCTCTCTCTTTCGTGGGCTCACCGGGGCGGGCACCTTCCGTACGCCCTGGCTTCTCATCACCGGACGCCCAGACTCGGAGTCCGTGCTGCTGAGTGAACTTTCTTCGCCGGTCTTCCTGATTCGCCGCGCCTTCTGTGCTTTCTTACTTAGAGTAGTAACTGTCGCAGTAGTAACCATTTTCGTACCCCGTAACTTTCGTAACCCGGCGTAACCACTAGTCCGACTGCTTTACTGTCTTTCCGAACTCTCTTCGTTGCTCTGAGATAGCCCGTGTATGACCACCATGTAACGAGTTGATATTCCTCCTGCCCGACTCGCTGGGCAAATCGTATAGTTTATGTACCTGCTGCGCTGTCTGTCCCTAGTCCGTAGTTGATACTTGATAGTTCTCGAAGACGTCACTGGCCAACGGATGCTCCACTGAGCAGTGTGTCGGAACCTTTGGCTCCTACGTTTTCTATTCATTATCCTTAGCTAACCTTACGTAAGCTAAAAGAGGTTCGTTCTTCGTTTTCGTTCTTCTTTCGTCGTCACTGAACAGATAGTCTCCAGTCAGATCACCCACGTCCTCGCCGAAGAACCGTGACGTCCCGATGCGATTCAGATCACACTCAATCTCCAAGCCACTTGGGCGTACGCCCACGGCGCCTACCCTACTCGTGCGCGGCCACCACAGCGAACTCGGATACTCCACTTCCCCTGTCTGGTCTCACCGTTCTTTGCTTCGCTTGTCCGTACGTTCTCCTCCTTGGATCCTACTTGTCCATCTTTCTACGGTACTGCGGTGCGTCCACCACAACCCCGTACGTTCTGTCAGCCATACTCTTTGCCTCAACAGCCCTATCGTTCGTCTTTGTCTTGTCGCTGACTGTACTTCCAGCCCTCGACTATATTTCGTCTCTCGTCACACTCCTTAATCTTCTTGTGTCGTCCTTTGCAAATTCAGAAGTACCCACCTCCTTGCTCTTCTTGCCGTCTAACGGCACCGGTCGCGACGGCTCGCCGTCTGCGATCTCCGTCCTAACCGTGCGTCCGTTGAATCCGTTGGGCTCCTTCCACCCTTTGGTCGCATGTTCTCCACGTTGAAGCTGGCTACGTGCCAACGTACACTATTCCGGAAGATCTTCGGTAGACCACGCCATCAACTTGTTACACGCCTTCTTCACTCGTAGAGTCTTCCACGACTCTACCGTCATGAAAGTATTTGTCGTACTCGGTGATTGACACCCATCGCGTACGGCTATCGCCACAATCTCGTCCAACTGGTCGAAGTTCGAACTCAAGCACATATTGTCCTGCTTTGTTTCGTCTACGTCGTCGTCGTATTTCCACGAACTGGCCACCCGACTCTCCTCACACATCCGTTCCTGCCACTGTTGTTCGACTTCGCTTTGGGCCTGCCGGAGCTGAGGCTGCTTGCACTGGAGCCGTCGTTGCTCCCGCAAACGTGCCGGTCGGCGCGTCATCACCGCGTTGCTCTTCATATTCCAACTGCGCTTGTAGATCAGCTGCTGCTCGTTGTAGTAACTCGACTTTTGAATGATAAGTAGTGAGAAAACTTCATGGGCTATAAATTCCTTCGGTTCCTCGTTCTGATCTTCACGTCGCACGACATAATTGTCGTAGCCTGCTGGCTCGATGATTTGGAGGAGTCCAATCCACGCATGAAATAACTTCGTAGCTTTCGTCCCACGAGGCGGTCGATACATCCAGACTCTGTCACCTGTCGAGAACACCCTTGTCATTCTGGCACGTCGGTTGTAGTTCCGAGCTTGCCGTGGTTGCTCCTTCTGGCGAGACTGCGCTGCACACTCATGACTGATCTTCATCGCGTTCAACAGACGTGCATGGTACTCGGACAACTTTCCTGCTTCAGTCACATTGGCGCAGCGTAGTGTAACTCGTTGGGTGCCCGTAATCTACGCCCCATCATCTGTTCATTTGATGACAGCGCAACTGTCGAATGCTTGCCTGAATTGTACGCATATACTGCAAAGTCTAACCAGGTGTCCCAATCATTCTGGACTTCACTGTGCATGTAGGTCGCGATGCAGTCCTTCCAAGTCCTATGAAATCTCTCCACAAGACCAATCCTCTGAGGTCGATAAGGAACTGGATTAATCTGGTGCGCCTGAAGCATCGTAATCAACTTCACGATCACAATACCGGTTAGTTCGGGAGCGCCATCAGTGAGTAGCTCGCGGAATACACCCAACCGTAGTACCATCTTATATAATAAATTTTGCACCATTTTCCACCGTGTGCTGCTCCACTGCTGCTGCAACCGCGTATCTCGTATCGTACTCAACTGCAGCGATAACATATCATTGTCCACCTCCTGTCTGTGGAAGACGTCCTGCGACGTCTAACGCCCAGCATCCTCCAACTTCTCCACCGCGTAGACTTCGTAATGTGGGTACCACTTCTCTCGGTCGTGCTTTGCGGCCTCCACACTCCTGGCACCCGGCCACCCACCGTTTAACCTCTCTTTGTAGGTTTGGCCACCAATAGAGTTTGTTGAAGTAGCCTCTAAACAGTTTGATTACCTTGACCTTAGTCACTCCAAAATATTATAATGAGATTTAGGAGGTCCTGTTTAAGTCGGTATGACTGGCTTAAACTATACAGACACTAATGGCTGGTGTACAGCTATTGGTGGCTTCCTAATACTAATAAAGTACTCACTTCGTCTTTTGACGCCTACAAGTAACGTCTTCTTCCTCTCCCTACTTCTCGACCTGTCATACGAGTTATACATTTGGAGTATACTAGTAATAATCGAAGACCACCACTCTTCATACCCGAATCCGTCGTCTACGATGGAGCGAGCAGTCTCTAGCACAGCGTGTACATTCTAATATCTTATTCTATATCCATGTAGTGTCAATAGTACAAGTAGTCTATTTACAAAAAATGTAAGGTCCCATAGATGGATTTAATGGAGCCTTTGATTAGATTTAGTATATATAACCCGCAATAAGAATGATGAACGCAAGTCCAAGCCGTGACAAATCACAAGATTTACAAAACGTACAGCAACATTATTATTGACGGTCATTGTAGGTGGGGCGGGGGACCAGGGAAAACAATAATATTTGAAAACTATACCGCCTACTCGACTACGAAGTAATTCGTAATACTTTACAATTACTGTATATTTGATAGCCCTCGCGGCTATAATTGTACTAGTATTAATACAAATTGTACTGTACTACTCGTAATACTCAGCAAAGATCCGTGGTTCTATTCACCACACGGCCTA